GACAATCTACTCTATGACTAACTTCTTACACACCCTTGTATTCCCATCCCCCCTCTCCCTGTAGTACGCCTTGGGTTTATACACAAACACACACACATAGACACACACACACACACACACACATATATATATATATAGACAGCGTACTCTATGACTTAATTCATACACACCCTTGTATTCCCGTCCCTCCCTCTCCCTGTAGTACGCCTTTGGGATAGTCGTGTTTGAGCTTTTGGCTATGGAGCCGCCGTGGGTGGAGATTACTGAGCCCCTAGTGCTGGCTGATCTGGTGGGCCGAGGAAAAATGAAACCAGACTACGGACACGTGCGCACGGACACACCTCTGGAGTTGATGGCTATACTCAAGAGCTCGTTAGGTAGGTTGAGGCTGCGTGGGGTTGTATATAGGCGTAGGGTTATAGGGTTAGGGGTAAGGCTCGGGGTTATAGGGTTAGGGTTAGGGTTAGGGTTATAGGGTTAGGGTTATAGGGTTAGGGTTATAGGGTTAGGGTTATAGGGTTAGGGTTATAGGGTTAGGGTTATAGGGTTAGGGTTATAGGGTTAGGGGTAAGGCTAAATTATACTCAAGAGCTCGGTAGGTAGGTTGAGACAGCGTGGGGTTGTATATTGTATGGTATGTAGACATGCATGGGTTAGGGGTAGGGGTAAGGCATTTTTATACTCAAGAGCTCGTTAGGCAGGTTGAGGCTGCGTGAGGTTGTATATAGTTTGGTATGTACACACACATGGGTTAGGGGTAAGACGTAGGGTTTTAGGGTTAGGGGTAAGGGTTAGGGTTTTAGGGTTAGGGCTAATTAAAGCTTTGCTTTAACCCTTCAACCTATACCCTGACCCCACCCCTTAATCCTAACCCTAAAACCCTCAAACCTTAAGACCTTATATGTGTAGGTATACGTATAGATATGCATGTAGCCATATTTATAGGTATAGATATGCATGTAGCCATATTTATAGGCATATTTGTGTAGGTACATGTATAAGTATATATGTCTGCAGGTATATGTAGAAGTATATATACATGTAGGTATTTTTGTAGGTATAAGTAGAACTATGCGCATCTATAGGCATATCTATAGCTATACGTCTAAACATACCCGTACATCCATACACCCCCTCCCACACACGTACTCCTCACTACCCATCCAACACCTCCCGGCCTCCCCCATTAAAATCTCACCATTTGCTTATTCCTACACGTGTGCTTCTACCCCACCCCGCAGCCTTCTCGACAGAGGATCGGGTGCAGTTCGATACCATTATGAAGGAACTGACTGTGCTGCACGATATCATACAAGAGGCCATGCCACTGCCCACAGCCCACTTTGACGCAGACCCACTGCTGAGAAGCCCTTCACTCCCCGCGGGTGGGTCTGGGACGGTGTTGTAGGCACGTGGTTCGCGCGTTGGGTGTACGGGGCCTACCTGTACCTAACCTACCACTTAGGGTACAGGGTTGTGCGTTTGGTATATATATATATACCTATACACTGAGTGCATGGCTGTGCCTGGGGGTGTATAGTCATACGTTGGGTGTATGGCTAGGCTGGGGGTGTATGGCTATGCTATAGGTTTTTTGGCGATGCGCTGGCTCTTGGTACACAAGTGGGTGGAATATTTATACAAGTCTCGCTCCAGGCGTATAGTTATGACACCCTGCGGGGATAAACGTATAGATATTATAACACCCTGAGTATATATCAACACTCTGCGTGGATAAGTGGTACAAGCGCTTGGTACAGATATATAGTTAAAATCTGAGGATGTATTCATACCCTGGGTGTACAGCTGGAACAAGTACACGGACGTGTGGCCGAGGGAGACTCAGATATGATATCTGAGGTTGTATGACCAGTCTTGGAGACGTGATCCGAGGTGGAGAAGGTTCTGAACTTGGTACAGATATAGAGTTACACTCTGTGTAGATATTCTGCACAGCTGTTACAAACACGCGGACAACACGCAGATGTGTACCCGGAGGTGTGTGCAGAACTTTGGCATCCAGCCTTAGATAGAAAGGACTCATAGAAACGTCTCAGTTAGTTCGGTACAGTTGAAGAGGGTCTACACTGGGTGTATATCCACAGTTTAGCCATATGGCTGGTACAAGCGCGCGGAAGGCATGCATGTGTGTGTGTACCCAGATGTGTGGACTGAGTACTATAGTACGGGCCTTGAATGCACACTGTTGGCCGGGGACAGTGCCGCGAAGCTTCAGTCAACCAGCGGAAGGGTCTGGGACGATCATAGAGCCACTTCTTGGCTAACAAACCTTATGCAGACAAAGAGACAAGCAGTCTGGTAGGTAGGATAGCGACTACAAGACGCTAATACCCGCAGAAAGACGCTCGGGTACGGCATCTGTGAGTGTGTGGGGGGGGGCTTTTGACCGGCCTCTAACGCGTACGACGAGGGAGACAAACTGCGGAGAAGCCGTGTTCAGCCAGTGAGTGGCTCTGGTGTAGTGATGGAGTGCCGTAGCTCTGACCAAGCACAGCAACGGTCTGCCTACCGCTAGTCACGTATATCGCATGTTCGGTTCAGGGGTTGTATCTGTGGCCGACACTCGATAGGGTTTTAGGGTTTTAAGGTTTTAGGGTTTTAGGGTGTAGTAGTGTAGTAAGAGCGCTAGTTGAGTGTATTTGAGCTATGGCTACGTGAGATGCTCAGTCACTCCTCTGTCGAGATGAGGGGCACGCACCCGTTCCCCATGAGGAATGGGTATGCTTGTGGCAGGTGGTGCAGGTTATGATTTAGGGTTTGCTGCATGCTACCTGAGTACTTGTGGGACGATGCCAAAGAGAGAGAGAGAGTGAGTGAGAGAGTGTGTGAGTGTGAGTGAGAGAGAGTAAGGGGGGATTGTTTGGTCCAATGATATGTCATAGGCTATAGCCGTTGTACGGCGACAAAGCTGCCAGACGGATTGTAGTGAGATGGACGGTGTGCGAGAGGGAAGTCTCGCAAACGCAAGGTGTCATCAATCCCCGTCAAACGGGAATCGCGAGAGCGATAGTATCATGGATAGATTGTGCAGCGCAGAATAATTTAGTAAACATAAAGTGTTATAATAACAACAAATAAACGGAAACAAAGATGCGAACGAAGCTAGGTTGCAAGCGACTTTTTACGCTTTCGATCTCGTGTGCATGTATCTTGCCTATGAATCCATCCAGTGCTACAGGTATGTATGCATGAATCCATCCAGTGCTACAAGTATGTATGCATGAATTCATCCAATGCTACAAGTACGTATGCATGAATCCATCCAGTGCTACAAGGATGTATGCATGAATCCATTCAGTGCTACAAGTATGTATGCATGAATCCGTCCAGTGCTACAAGTATGTATGCATGAATCCATCGCATACGCCCCCTATCCTTCGACCAGTCTTGGTGTGAGTATGCTACCAGCATAAGGCACAGTTCACTACTTTATTAATGTTTATCTAGTTACTATTAATTCCTCTCATAGCTACCACAATCACCTGTCCCCGTTCATCTCGCCTAAAAACTGATCCAAAAACGTATGCATAAACCCATCGCGCTCGTCCGCTATCCTTCGGCCAGTCTTGGTTTTCATCATGTCCTTGAGCAGAAAGAGCTTCTCGTGAAAATGGTTGATAGTTGTTTGCTGTAGAGAAAAGGAGAAGGTGCACAAGTACGGCATGGGTATTGGGCGTGCTTGCGAAAGGCACTGTTTACACTATATACACTACATACAAGTGTGTGTTGGTATGGCTTGTGAAGGACACTATATGCTTCGACATACAGGTGTGTGTTGGTATGGCTTGAGAAGGACATGATATGCTTCGACATACAGGTGTGTGTTGGTATGACTTGTGCAGGACATTATATGCTTCGGCATACAGGTGTGTTGATATTAAAACCTGACCTGGCCATATACTGCCACGGAGGCACTTCAGGGTTGTACGCACAACACACTAATTTCTCGCATGAGAATTAATTGCTATCACGATCATATACTGCCAGGCAACACACTAATTTCTCATATGAGAATTAATTGATCACGAGGGATTTCAATCCTCGTATACACATCTAACACACACGTCAAACGAGGATAACACACCCATGCAGAGATGTGCTACAGAACCCTTTGTATGTATCGCTATAACCTATCGTATGTATATGATAACAATAGAAACCAAAGCGAAGTGACTATCTCCCATGTACACATGTGCACGCATAACAATCCGCCACCCTTGCCGCGTGGTTGGCCTAATGTCTATACAGCACCTGCACAGTATCCACTCGGTAGTGTTCGTTTAGTCATGCGGAGTCTAGACCCTAAAAACCCTAAACCCTAAAATCACACACCTGCACAGTGGCGTCTTGGTAATGTTCTTTCGTCGTATATGTCTCCTCGGTGGTACTTACGGGTCATACAACACACGAATTATTCACATGGCCATTAAATGCTTACGCACACACATATATATATAGCATGTCAACTACACACCTGCAAAGTGGTACGTCCGGGTCATACAATACACACGAATTATTCACATGACCATTTAATGCGTTCGCACACACACATATATATATCAAGTCCATTACAGACCTGCACAGTGGTGTCTTGGTATTGTTCTTTCGTCATATTGATCCTCGGAGGTACTTGCGGGTCATACAACACACGGTTGAAACGCCCTCCAAACGTCAGACATCGCGCAACGCCTATGGCTCCGATGGCGTCTAATCGATCAGCATCCTGTATGTGCGAAGTAAAGTCCTGGTTTTAATGGTTTGTAGCTGGGTGTGTGGACGGTTTATGTTTTCAGATGAGTGTGTGTTCAATTTATGTAAAGAGGTTAGGGAACAGATAGGCGGTATATGGCTGAACGCGTGGTTTAACTATATATAGATGTGGATAAATTGCGATATAGAATGAGATGGGTTAGATGGGTTTGAGCAGCATATGTGCAAATGCAGATAAATATATAAATACATATATATATATATATACATATATATGAATATGAATATG